GACTCTGCTGATATTTGAAATACAGGTGGCATATCTTCCAGCATCACAGCAACATGAAAGCCACTACAGTATGACAAATGGACAGATGAGTTGTGGTATGAGTAGCATACCTGTTCTTAATTGTGATAAATATATATGTAACAAAACATATACCATTACAACATTTTTTGCATGTACACGTCAGTGACATTACTTACATCTCTCATGTTTTTCAATTATCACCATTATTAATTTCCAAATTTTTCCATCACCCTTAACAGAAATGCAGTGTCCTTAAGCAATGAATCCTTTTCCTCCTCCATCCTGCACCTGGTAACCACTAATAAATACTGGTTTCAATACACTTGCCTATTCTGCTCCTAATCTTATCGTGGTGTATTTTCATGAGACCTGAAATGATTAATCTCTGAAATAAAAGATCCCTGCAAATAAGGGTGAATTTTAACTAATACACTTCTAAGAAGAAAGTTGTATTATTCCATATGTGAATCACAAAAATTATCTCTCCTAAATGTGGCCAGTGCAAAAAGAGATGGTAGAACTTAAGAAAGCTGAGATGTTCTCAACAGGAAACACCCTTCCTTTGGAAGAGCATTATTTGAAGGAGCTGCTGATGCTGCTTAAATGAACAAATAAACTACTGCTTGTTAACATTCAGAATGTCTATGATAAGACTCCTCTGAGGTCAGATTATAGGCCTTAAGGAAAGGATGTGGCCAAAATCTGCAAGGCAGAAAAAATAGGCTTAGAATGAAATGACTGAGTAAGGCAAGAAATTTGACATTGATGTCAGCCAGATTTTAGTTTAAATTTCTTTTCTTCCCCTAATTATCTGTGCTGTCTTTAGCAAATTAACTAAACCTCAAATGCAAAAAGATCAATAATCTCCAACTTGAAGGGTTATTATGAAGATAAATTTTAAAATATGTGCCTTTTTAACACATAATAACTATTAACTCCCTCCCATTCCATAATCTCTCTTACCTAGGATGACCAGCAGAAAAGAGAAGACAAAATGGACCCACAATTTATTCATATGCAATATACAAGATGTTTTCAAGTTGAAAGTTGCATAACTCCCTTTATTCACAACTCATATTGTTACTCATATGATCTCACCCTCTGATATCAACTCAAGCTCTTTCCAAATTCCAGTCAGTTCCTCCCTCTCTCTCCTTTACAAGAATATCAAAACTGGTTGCACAGTCTCCTGTCCATCATTCAAACATCATTCTTGTGTCTCCAGGTATCTTGCCAAGAAAGATACCCTCTTTTTACAGTCTTAAACTCATTCTCCTAATTATATCGATCATAACCACACCATCTCTGCCAATTTGATCCATGGCATACATATTGTTGTTGTTGTTAAGTGCCGTCGAGTCATTTCCGACTCATAGTGACCCCATGCACAGCAGAACGAAACACTGCCCGATCCCACGCCAACCCCACAATCCCTGCTATACTTGAGCTCATCACTGCAGCCACTGTATCAATCCATCTCGTTGAAGGCCTCCCCCTCTTTCGTCGACCCTCCACCCTACCAAGCATGACATCCTTCTCCAGGGAATGGTCCCTCCTTACAACATGACCAAAATAGGTGAGACGAAGTCTGGCCATTCTTGCTTCCAAGGAGCATTCTGGCTGCACTTCCTCCAGGACAGATCTGTTAGACATTTCTTCAGGAGCTCTGGTAGCATAGTGCCTAAGGCACTTGACTGCTAACCAGAGGCTAGTGGTTCAAACCCACCAACCACTCCTCAGAAGGAAGGTTGGGCAATCTACTTCAGTAGTGATACCACCTCAGAAACCCAAGGAGGGGTCACTATGAGTTGGGTACGACTCGACGGCACATAACAACACCACCACCACCAATTTCTTCCAGTTTTAATAAAATAAATTTCCCTGTTGGTCAATAAGATGTATTACTAGGTGTTTTAGTTAAGGTTTTGTGTCAGCTTGGCTGGGCCTGGTTTTGAGTGGCTCGGCAGCTGGATGTAGTTATCCACCATGATGACACTGGTAATCAACTCCATGGTAGAATCTACTATGAGCAGCTCAGTAGCTGACTTAGGAATGTGATCTACTTCCAGTATATGAGAAGACACTTTGAGAAAGGTCTTGAGGTTTTGGCACATCTAGATCCTATATTTGGCTGAATCTTCATCTCAGTGGCCTGTCATGTTGTCTGCTGATCTTGGGACTACTAATGGATTTGAATTAGTGGCCTACTATATTGCTCGATAATCTTGAGACTATGACATTTTACTTGTCAACCTTGGGTTTTGTCAACCCCAGCAGCCAGTAGCCGCTGGAGTTAAAACATGCCTCCAGCTTTAGTGGGCCAGCAGTAAGAGGCAGAGCTGAAGTCCAAGGTTGAGGGGTCTTCACCCAGCCCCTAGAGCTGCCACTTTGATTTCAGACTTCTAGCCTCCTAAACTGCAAGAGAATAAACCCCTGTTTGTAAAGCCATCTATTTGTGGTATTTTCTGTTAGAGTGTCACTAGAGAACCAACACATCAGGCCAAAAAATCAGAGGGCCAAAAATATGGTGGTTTGTAAATGGTAAAGAACTCTGGTGTCATAGCGGATAAGGCACTTAGGTGCTAATCAGAAGGTCAAACTCACCAGCTGCTTCACTGAAGGAAGATGGGGTGATCTACTTCCATAAAGATTTCCAGCCTCAGAAACCCAACAGGGGTCACTATGAGTCAGAATTGACTTGATGGCTTTTTGTTGTTGTTATGTACCATCGAGTTGGACCTGACTCATAGAAACCCCTTCTTGAGTTTCTGAGGTGGTATCACTAAGGAAGTAGATTGCCCAGCCTTCCTTTCAAAGAGTGGCTGGTGGGTTTGAACCATCAGCCTTCTGGTTAGTAGTCAAGTGCCTTAGGCACTATGCTACCAGAGCTCCCTGACTTGATGGCAGTGAGCTGTAAATTGTAAATTGTGCCTTTGAGAAGCCATAAGATTGACTGACATTGCATATATATATATATAATATCAAATAGTACTTGTTCGCTATTAATTTAAAGGGTATTTAGATGTGTTGTAATACATAATGCTTATAAAAGACAGAGCACTGAGCTTCCGCATTGTGGGGTGGGTCTCCAAAGTTCTCAGATGATGTTCTGTATGGCTTCTCACAATTTCTACTACCTCAATACCGAAGATCTCTGACCCTTCCCATCCTACATGTTCCTCTACCACAAGAGGTCATGCTTGCACTTATTTTACAGAGCTTTATAAATGCAGCTTTTTCATTTTCAGCTGCTCTTCACCTGCATCTATATGGAGTGGCTTGGCTAAACTGGCACATTAACCTTCTGAGATGCAATAAACCAACCCAAGACCCAGTTAGACGGTTCAGGCCCCAAGCCCTCTCTTCCCTAGGCCTGAATTATGTCTTTTTCTTCTAATTTCTCTGACCTTTCTGAACGTGAATAATTCTGCATCTCCAGGGAGCTCCAGGACTTTTGGACAAAGGCTTCCTCTGTGGTGCCATGATAGACAAAATACAGAGAGGGCTGTCTACTTAGACCCGTTTTAAATGCAGCACGAGCATAGCTGTGCTGTCATTGTTTCCTTAAGACATTCATCTAGATCTCAAAGAGGAGCCCAAGGGGTTTCAGAATTTCAGAGTGAGGGAAAATCCATTCTCCCACCAACACAGCTGGGTGAAGATACTTACATTGAAGTCATAAAGCACACCGAAGTTTGCTGCAGACGCCTCTTCAGCTCTAGGAACTGTTTTCCTAGGTAAACTGCCATATGGCAAACCCCAGAGGTACTGTATGGAGAAGCAAAAAAAAAAGAAGTTAACAATTGAAAATAAAGTCTGAACTACACATGAAATCACAAATGGTTTTGTTTAAAAGCACTTCTGAAGCTTTTTCATGGGAACTTTGTAGGCTTCCATGTGGGGTCCCATTTTCTGGGCATCAACTAGTGAAAACAGAATTAAGATCAAAGAGAATGCTAAGAACCCTATATTCCAAGTTAAGCAGACCACCAGCAGTAGGGGTCAACCACATTCCACTGAAGGCTTGCTGAGAGGTCCTACTACCCACCACCAGCTCCAAAGTGGTCCAACTTAGGGAAGGTCTGGAAAAAAGAGAGATGACCTTTCAGAGGACTATCCAGCCACTGCCGTCAAGTTGATTCCAACTCACTGAGAAACTATAGGTCAGAGTAGAACTGCCGGGTAGGGTTTCCAAGGCTATAAATCTTTAAGGAAGCAGACTGCCACATATTTCTCCCACAGGGTGGCTGGTGGGTTCAAACTGCTAAGTTTGGGTTAGCAGCTGAGAGCTTTGACCACTGAGCTACCAAGATTCCTTTCAAGAGACTACATACAGTGCTCAAGAAAATTATCTTATTTATATGTTCGTACAAGAATACCCCTTAGGGCTGGGAGTGGAGCCTATTTTCTTTGTAATGTCAAGGAGAGAGGACTCAAGAGAACCAGTCATAATTTGAGGGTGCCAGCAAGGTGGGAATATGATGCCTGGTTAGGATGTCTGCTTCACCACTAATTCAAGTTTGCTGCCCTGAACTTGTGCTGACTAAGAAAGAAGCCTATAGGGGAAATTTGTTTGGGGAAGCAGCCAGGCAGTGAAGGGCCAAAAAAAGGGTCATAGCCAAATGCCTTTGTAAGAACTGGAAAAAGCACCCCTCGACCCTCTGCCATGAGTCAGAATCAACTCAACAGCAACTAATGGGACCCTCAGGTTGGGCATATGGCTTGTTAAACAGATGTTACTCCTTCCATGAGGGTGGGGATGGAGAATGAAAGCAGTTGAAGCCAGGGTACAGAGCTGACTAGGTGCAGGCTGGATTTCAGCCCCTATTCACTCCCTCCACTCAAGCTGCATGACCTTACAGGGCAGCCCTTTGGGCCCTTAAGTACCCTGGGACTAAACAAATAGAAGATAGGCTTTGCACATACTTTCAAACCCCAAAGTTGGGAGCAATAGAGAACAGAGGAGAATAGGGTCTCAGGCTTGTCCAGTGGCTTGGAATAAAAAGGACATCTGCCTCAAAGGAACGCTGGGTGAAGCTGTTGGGTAAAGGGAGCTGAACAATGTAGTCTTTTTTATGAGACGGCAACCATCCCTAGCCTCTGGTGGTTCTGTAAAGTCACAATGCAGAGTTTCCTACTCCACTTATTCTCTTTATGGAATTGGTAGTCATTGACAAGAAAATAGGATGCCCCTCAGGACCCAACATCATTCTGTAAAAAAGTATCCAAAATCAATATGCTTCCTAGCTCTAGGAATACATCCAATGTAATACATATTAGCTCCATCCATGATATATTAGACATTCTGCAATTTCATATGATCCAAATGAATTAGCCAAAACTTTTAATTTCTTCCATATGGAGGCAGCATGGTGTGAGGGGGAAAAAGTAAATGTAATGGGATAAAATTCAATTTATACCCTGTTTCTGGCACTACACAATGTCTTTGTGGCTGGGTGATGGAATGGAGGAGTTTCAGGTTTCTTGAGAGAGATAAGCAGGAACAAAGCTGAGGCTAGTTTAAATAAGTGAAATATATACATTTTGCTGTCTCACATAAAACTTTTCACTGAGAAGATAGACTACAGACCATCCTCTATGAGCCAAGTAACCTTAGAAACTCCAGAATTATCTGAGATGTTATAGGACTAGTGAATTAGAATGCAAAATCTTGAGAGAAAAGATTGAATCATGGCTCCTAGTCCCACATCAGCTTTTTAAAAAATAATAATAATAATAATACAATTAAATAAGAAGAACATCTCATCTGAGACATTAGGTAAGTCATTTCTAAAATGAGGGAATGAAACTTTCAGAGTTTACCTCACAATTTTCTTGTGAGGCTTAATAAGTAGAAGATGTGAACGTGTTTTACACTATTAAAAGCTAAAACTGGTTATGAATACTCACTTCCATCCAGTTGGATCTGACTCATAGTGACCCCTCCTTGGGTTCCCAAAGTGGTATTACTACAGAAGTACATTGCCCAACCTTCCTTCTGAGGAGTGGCTGGTGGGTTTGAACCTCCAGCCTTCTGGTTAGTAGTCAAATGCCTTAGGGATGTGACCTTAATATTACTATTATGCTGTTTGGGAGGCTTAATGCAGAAACTGGTACTGATTTGAAGCTATGAGGACAAAGAGTCACTTAAAAAAATCCATTTTTGATATTTTGCTCTAATGAACAAATTGGCTCTGACATCCTGGTACCTGAAAAGGTCATGTGTAAGTTAAGCCTAATCCATCTTCTGTATGGTAGGGATCCAAAGAGTCCAAGTGACTTGTCTTCATGTGGGTGAAGACCCCAAACCTGCTCTTGTTTTTTTGGCTTTAGTCCATACTTTTCCCCCATCAGCTCAGAGCTTTGCCTTCTTACTCAGTCTGAATCCATGATCTGCATTACCACCCTCTCTGACTTTGGTGCCAAAACGCCCCACCCAATCCCTACCCTACTGGGGTATGCTTGTGTGTGTTTTGGGCATCTTACTGGTTGTATAGTGTCTAAGACATTTGACTGTTAACCAGAAGGCTGACAGTTCAAACCCACCAGTCACTCCTCGGAAGGAAGATTGGGCAATCTACTTCTGTAGAAATACTACCTCAGAAACCCAAGGAGGGGTCACTATGAGTCGGAAAATGACTCAACGGCAATGAGTTTGATTTAATTTTTTTGGACTTTTTTTATATCTTGGGGGAAATTTGCTTAAATGTGTGTTTATTTACTACAGAAAACCTGGATGCTTTGAATTGCATTAAGAAGCATTTCTTCTAAAGCAAACTTGGTAATATAAATAAGTCCAGATCACAAGGTGTCAAAGCCTTCCTCTTGAGCAATGGTACGTAACATTTTGGCACGGGTCTTACATGAACAATCTGGTAAAAGCCACAAACCCTCACCACATAAAAATGCATCTTTAAGAACACATACAACGTTTTATATGTGATATCAAGAGGCTCACACACCCTTTGAAGCAGGAATTAAGCCCTTGGATCCATGGGCATTATATTAACCAAACCAATTGCTATAAATTGAACTCTGACTCATGACCAGCTCTTGTGTGTCAGAGTAGAACTGTGCTCCCTAAGATTTTCAGTGAGTAATTTTTCAGAAGTAAATCATCAAGCTTTTATTTTGAGGTAGCTCTGGATGACTTGAACTTCTAACCTTTTGATTAGCAGCTGAGTACAATACTATTTATACTAACCAAGAACTCTAACCTACATATTCATATTTACCTATATCTATACACTGACGGTTCAAACCTACCAGCCACTCCTTGGAAGGAAGATGCGGCAATCTACTTTCATAGTGATACTGACTCGGCAACCCAAGGAGGGGTCGCTATGAGTCGGGTCTGACTCGACGGCACATAAACAACAACAATACACGGGTGTGAGTTGCTTAATGTCCATTTAGAAAACATCTAACCTCACATATATCTGTGGTCCAATAAGTTTAAAAAAATGGAAAGCACCTCTTCTTTTGTTTATTATTTCCCCCTAAAGGTTTTAAAGACCACAAACCCAGACTCTTGCAGCACTGGACCATAGATGGGATAGAGGCAGGTGAGGCAGAGGACATGGGCATGGGTGCACACTCAGGCTGTGTCCAATGGACAAGCAGAGAGCAGTTAAGGGGGCTGGGAGGCCTGGCTGCTCCTGTTGCTCAGGTAGGTGGGAGAGTGGGGGACACTGGGTGCATTCCACTCCCTCCTCACTCAGTTCCTCTCACTCCCCACTCCTTCCATTGCCCTTTCAGCCGCTGCCACTGACACATCCATTTCTCTGGGTTCCAACAGCAACTCTAGCAGCAGCAGTTGCAATAAAGACAACTGGAAGAGGGTTCACATAGGTGTTAATATAATGTTCCACAACATCCAAATCATATATTGTGAATGCTATGTGACACTTACCTCTATATATACACAAAAACCAAACATGTTGCTGTCAAATCAATTCCAACTAATGGTGACCCTATAGGACAGAGTAGAACTGCTCCACAGGGTTTGCAAGGCTGTAATCTTTACAGAAGCAGACCATCACATCTTTTTCCCATGGAGCTTCTGGTGGGTTCCAACTACAACCTTTTGGTTAACCAAACAAGTGCTTAAACACTGTACAACCAGGGGTATGTGTATACTGTATAATACTATGATTTTAAGAGGTGAATGTAGCAAATTTGTCTTACTCTTATATAAGACCAAAGGGCTCTTCTAGGAGAGTGGTCACATGAGAAACCTGTTTTCTAAACCAGAAGAAGTCAGACTCACCTCTGGCAACATAATGAGGCTGAACGTCAGGACAAAAAGAACCATATTTACCCCATACATCCATCTTAAGAAGAGGAAATAGGAGGCCACTGATGATCCAAACTGACCTATTAAGAAGAAAATATAAAGGTTGAAACCAAAAAACAAATCAAACCCACTGCCATCGAGCAAATTCCAACTCACAGCATTTGGTTTCTGAGGCAATAAATCTTTACAGAAGTAAATTGCCCTGTTCTCCTCCCACAGAGTGGCTGGTGGAGTTAACTGCCAACCTTCTGAATAGCCATCAAGTGCCTAAGGCACTGGACCACCAGAGCTCATAGAAAGGTGGAAAACCCAAAAAACCAGACCCACTGCCATCAAGTCAATTCTGACTCATAGCAACCTCCATTGGATTTCCGAGGTGGTAAATCTTTATGGAAGTAGATTGCTCAGTCTTGCTTCCATGGAGTGGCTGGTGGGTTTGAACCACCAATATTCTGGTTAGCAGTCAGATGCCTTAGGCATTGTGCTACCAGATTACATAAAGGTTGAAGGGGGGTGGTCAAAACAAAACAAAAGCTCTGTTTTAGTGGCCCTCCAAAATAAATCTACTCATTGCTAAACTGTTTCCTGTGTATATAGATGTGTGTGTAGAACATTTGTGATCTACCCTTCAGAGTCTATATAAGGAGGGGCTTTAGATTAGCAGCTACTACTGCTCTCCAAAGAGGCTATTTTATTCCTTGAATTAATACAAGTAAATGAGCAAATATACATAAAGTGGTTACAACAGTGCCAGGAAATCCATTATGGTTATAATTATAATTATAGTTCTTCTCCCTTTTCCTCAAGTAAATAATGTTCTTCTCAAAAGGGTTCATCATATCTCTAAAGGAGCTCTGATGACATAGTGCCTAAGGTATTTATTTGACTGCTAACCAGATGGTTGGCAGGTCAAAACCCAGCAGCCACTCCACAGAAGGAAGATGGGGAAATCTACTTGCCTAGAGATTTACCACTTCAGAAACCAACTCACTATGAGTAGGAATCAGCTCAATGTCAGTGAGTTTGATTTTGTAGTGGAAGCTTACCCTACCTATTGCCTTTGCTGTTTCCTCTCATTTATGCTATTCTACAAGTACAGTGGAGAAGTGGAAGTTCATTCATTCACTCCACACATTTTTACCAAGCATCTTCTGCTAGCATTATTTTAGATGCTCACAGAAATGTCACAGACACACTCCTATCCCTAATACAATGTACATTTTACTGAAGTGTGGGAACAATAACAATTACACAAGAAAATAGCAGAATAGTAGCCAAACAGGTCCTACAGGGAAAAAGGTGAAGTATTGAGAGGGGTTTCTTTAGATAGGTTTATTGAGAGAGGTACAGTCATGCACTGCATAACATCCATTCTCACAGCATCCAATCACATATACATCCACGGTCCCACAATATTATAATAGAGTTCAGAAATCTCGATAGGAAATGGGATATAGCAAATGCAACATCTTTCCACATGTAACACATATATCTCATGTCTATTATATACAAAAAGATTGCACTGCCAGGCATATAATAGTACATATGTAACCTATAATACATGTTTTGATAGCTATAATAAATGTCTAGGTTACTGACTTATTTATGTTTTGTGCTGTACTTTCTATCTAAAGTTTATTGTATAACAGGGTATGCTTCAACTTGTAGGCAGCAGCAACCAATATCATATATTACACATCTCTTGAGTGTTGTAGCATGATTTCTTTGTTTAATGGTCTTTCGAAAACATTACCTTGAAGTGTGTAATGGCTCCCAAATGCAGCAAAACCAGTGTTAGTGATAGCAGCACCAAGAGGCAAAGGAGAAGTATTTATTTTGAAGTGAAACAAGTTTAAGTAACAGAAAGGTGGAAAATCAGTGAATTCTATTGCTCATGATTTAGGCATGTCACACTCAACAATCATGATGATCCTCAAAAGCACTGAAAAATTCTCCAAGCTGTTAAAGGATCAGCTCCACTGAAAGCTAAAAGGTTCGCAAAAGTTGGAGAGGGACCTATGGAGAAATTACTAATGATGTGGATTGAGGACTAAACACAAAAGCAAATCACTCTCCGAATGTTGATGATCACTGCTAAAGCACAAAGTATTCTCCAGATGCTTAAATAAAAAGCAGGACCAGATTACTATATGGTGTTTGCACAACATCCAAATCACATAATATCCTATTTCACCTATTGTATCATTGATATTAAGCAATGCGTGGCTGTAACAGAGAAGATGATATTTGAGCAGAGACCCGAAGATAGAGAAGAGGTAGCAAGACTCAGAGGTCTGAAGAGCATCTCAGCAGAGGACAAAGGAGGACAAAAGTCCTGACAAATGCAAGAGCTTAGGGCAATTGAGGAACAAAAGAAGGCCTATGTAGTTGGAGAGGAGCTCTGGTAGCATAGTGCCTAAGGCACTTGACTGCTAACCAGAAGACTGGTGGTTCAAACCCACCAGCCACTTCTTGGAAGGAAGATTGGACAATCTACTTCTGTAGAGATACTGCCTCGGAAACCCAAGGAGGGGTTGCTATGCATTGGGGCAGACTCGACGGCACACAACAACAACAACATGTAGCTGGAGTACAATGAATTAGGGAAAATGGTGACAAATGAGGATGAAGGAGCCCAAAGTCACTTTGTACAGGGCCTTTTAAGGTAAAAAGGAGGATCTTACTCTAAACATGATGAGAGGTCATTGATGAGTAATAAAAACATCACTTTGTGGGATTGTATTGGGAAAGAATTGGCAAGAATAATTCTATCAACTCCAGTACCAAAATAATGATGAGTAAAGTGATCTAATTCTTATTGACTGAAAAAAAAAAGGAGGAAAAAAAAAAGAAGAAAAAGAAGGCTTTAAGCAGTGAATGGAAGAGGAATTAAAAACAGGAGTTAGAAGTCTCTGGTTAAGAATTCTCTGATGAACAAAAGCCAAAGACTTTTTGATTATCATTTTAGATTGGGGGTCAAGTTACTAGCTTTCCCAATTTTCATTTTCTGTTGTTCAAAGGGAAAAAAAAAAAAGAGCAGCCTCAGCCATTCCTTACTTCAGCACCTTTGTCTTGTCTCATTCTGCCACGTTTCCAGTGATCAGTGGTTTTCTTGGACTCTCAGACATTGAAATATTGCCAGTGGTAAAACATTATTACCAGGATAGAGAGGCTCATGGGAAGCAAATCCTAGCCTCTATTTTCTAAGACGAGACTGACCTCCTATGAAAGTAATACCTCTGTTTTAGAACTAAGTCTAGTCTTTAGATACCATCTTACTCATGCCCATAACACAGTGTCAGGTTTTGTTTTGTTTTGTTTCCAGAAATTTAAAATGAGGTCAATCTGTAAATGGACTTTTTCAAGAAATTAATTATTTTGAAGTCTGGAAATTTCTTTTTCTTTAATCTCAAAAGAGAGACCTGAATCTATGTCACCTTGTATAGAGGTGTAGAATTCTACAATATGTGTAAGAGCATTTGGTTTTGACAGACATGCACGCCGACTGCGGTAGCCAGAAGCACTGGCCGGTGTGTAGAAACACTAAAGCACATGCACCCATCATGGGACATCTGATCATCCACCTGGCTCCCCGTGATTCCATATCATTTCATCGTTGTTATCTAGGTTCTCTAGTAACGACTAACCGGAGACTACCTCAGCCAGTTTTCACTCATCATGTTTTATTGAGGGTTGAGCACAATGGATGACCAGCTTGTTAGTTATTACAATTACTCATTTACTGGAGAAGCTCCGTATCTAGGTATTGTTCCTTGGAAACACGCCCACAAGACTCTCTGGTATAGGGTCCCAAGCACAGAACACTGACTTTTCCTTCCTCCCTTCTCACATTCCTTTTCTTCTTTCCTCCTTCCCTCCCTCCCTCCTTCTCACATTCCTTTTCTTCTTTCCTCCTTCCCTCCCTCCTTTACTCCCTCCCTCTCTCTTTCCTACATTTCTTCATTCCTGCATTTCTTCCAGTTTTTGCAGTTTTACTCTTTTTACTACCTAGACCCACATTCTCCCAGCCCCAATTCACAACCTCTGGGAATTTAATTCCTCAGGCATAGGATAGCAGCCACTCCTCGGAAGGAAGGTTGGGCAATCTCCTTCCGTAGTGATACTGCCCGGAAACCCAAGGAGGGGTCGCTATGAGTCGGGTCCGACTCGACGGCACAGAACAACAACAAGGATATAAATATACCTAAACCCATAAGAGGCAATCAGTATTTGACTGAACCAAGATTTTATTGACAATAATAGTAAACATTTAATGAATCTTTATTTCAGACACCTATTTGACCTCTGTGTATTAACACTTAATAATCATCCAACACTTATGATATAGGAATTACTGTTGACTTCTTTTACAGAAACTATGACTCAGATTCACTTGCTCAAGATCCATGTGTAGTAAACGATGGAGTCAGGATTCAAAGCCAGGCAGTCTTGCTCTACAGGTATTTGATTCCGAATCTAGACCTCTCTTAACTACAATGCTGTTATCGCCTTTCAGACAGAATTGATAACTAAGTTGAATCAAGATATTAAATATATATATATATATATGTATAAGAAATATGCAATGAATATGTATGTGTAAAAGAACAATTATAGATAATATCCATCAATCCTTTAGGACAGTTAAATTCACAAATTTGGATAACCAAAAAACACCAAACTCACTGCCATTGAGTCACTTTCAACTCCTAGCGACCTCCACTGGGTTTCCAAGGCTGTAAATCTTTACAGAAGCAGATGGCCCCATCTTCCTCCTGCAGAGCAGCTGGTAGGTTTGAGCCACAGACCTTCTGGTTAGCAGCCAAATGCCTTATCCACTACAGCCACTAATTTATGTTTTTTAAAAATAATGTTTAACTGTATTGAAATATATATGCATGTATGTATTAAACAAAACATTTACCATTTCAGTCATTTTTCTTTTTTAATTTGACTAATGCTATTTTCATGGTAAATTAGTAAGATGACATCTTTAGCATATGAGAAAATGAGACCTTACACTTATATATATTTTTCTTCTGAAATGTCTTGTGTTTCTTTTAAGTTAGAGTTAAAGTTTCTTTCTCCCTCTGTTCATTTAGTATTGAGACAAAGTAATTTGTAGTCTGTCATCATGTATAATTTCCTCTTCAACAGAAGAATAGTAAGACAAGCAGATAAATATGAGAATTTCTAAATAGGAATATACCCATTAAATAATGGGAACTCTGGTAGCGTAGTGCCTAAGGCACTTGACTGCTAACCAGAAGGCTGGTGGATCAAACCCACCAGCCACTCCTCGGAAGGAAGGTTGGGCAATCTACTTCCATAGTGATACTGCCTTGGAAACCCAAGGAGGGGGTCGCTATGAGTCGGGTCCAACTCGACAGCACAGAACAACAACACAATAACGACATGAGTATAACATGAAATGCCATTACATTAGGCTGGGATATGATGCACAGTTTCTTTCAAACGGGTCAAGTGATATGGAACAAAATATGACAAATTCAGTTTCTATATTCTGGAGCCCTTAGGCCAGCAGAGAAGCATGATGTTTAAACCCTATGCTTATTGTTGCCTGTTTACCTTCGGAAGCTATTTCCAGTCTGAAAAGAGGTTGGTCACATCATTTATTTATTTATTTATTTATTTATTTATTTATTTATTTATTTATTTATTTATGGTATAATTTACATTGAGGACCCCCTGGGTGATGCAGACAGTTTATGTGCTCACTGTTAACTGAAAGGTTGCTGGTTCAAGCCCACCCAGAGGTGCTTCAAAAGAAAGGCCTGGCAATCTTCTTCCAAAAACCAGCCATTGACAACTCTGTGGAGCAAGGTCTACTCTCACACACATGGAGTCGTCATGAGTTGGAATTGCCTTGATGGCAACTGGTAATTCACATTAAGGAGCAAGTAGATTTTAATTCTGAGAAACATTGGGAATCTCCAGCTTGAATGACATTCATGGTTTGAATAGTAACCCTAGTGTCGCAGTGGGTATACCTTATATTTCTAGGGGTAAAACTATGCAGTTTCTTCAGCAAAATAAGAAATGCAATGTGGCTAATAAGATGTGTCCCTGTAGGCCACTCTGGGGTTTTAGACATGGCTCCTTTATAAGTTTATTAAAACCCAAAATACCAACTGCTGTCAAGTCTATTCCAATGCATGTTGTTGTTGTTGTTGTTATTTGCTGTCGAGTCAGCCCGACTCACAGTGACCCCTCCTTGGGTTTCCAAGGCAGTATTACTAGAGAAGTAGGATTGCCCAACCTTCCTTCCGAGGAGTGGCTGGTGGGTTTGAACCGCCAGCCTTCTGGTTAGCAGTCAAGTGCCTTAGGCACTATGCTACCAGAGCTTAGAGACTCTAAAGGACAAAACAGAATTGCCCCCTAGGGTTGCCAAGGCTGTAAATCTTTACAGAAGCAGATTGCTACATCCTCCTCCCATGGAGTAGCTAATGGGTATGAACCGCTGAGGTTTTTAGTTAGCAGGTGAGCACTTTAACCACTGTGCCACTAAGACTCCTTTCATAAAGTTAGCATGACAGTAAAACCCCATGATATTCCTATGTAATGTACAACTTCACAGCATCTCTCTGTGAAAAATATTGTCAAATCTATTTTCATCAACAACAAAAATTTGGAGGTCATGGAAGTGAGTATCTGGTTCACACTAGTAAAGGGACTATTGGAATCAAATGGCATCATGGAAACAGTATGAGTTTTAGACTCTGACCGAGTTCTACTGTTGATTCTGCCAATTATTGCACAGAGCTTTGTGGAAACCCAGTGCAGAGTGGTAATTTGGTATTCCTTTAAAACTTCATTTAAAAATATATATATATTTATATATTGCTATTTATTTAGAGATTGAGCCATATGTGAGGACAAGAGAGATTAGAAGTCTCATGGGAGTAAAGCTCAGCCTCTCCTCTATTAAGCATGCCATCATCATAACCATCACCATGATTTATTTGCTTATATTTCATGATCTGTATTCTCTGCCCACCCCACCCAGCTGCATATTCCAACATTTGGATGTAAGCTCAATGAGAACATGATCCTTACTCATCTTTGTCAGTGCTGCATCCCAAATGCCTAGAAACATGCCTAGTATGTTACAGACACTCAATGAGTATTTGTTCAATTAATCATTCAATCAATCTGAGCTTATTCTGAACATTAAATGAGATATTCTATGTTAGATGATCCTGCCTTTCAGAAGAAATAATGCTCCAAATGTGTTAGCATTATTTTACAAACTACGACAAATATACTTCTAAAAATGAAGGGGGAAGAAGTATATAGAGAGTTAGAGCCTATAGGTTTTTGTATATGGCTGTATTTTTTATTTTTAACTATATTTCAATGAGGTAGGATTGGGAGAATAACTATCAAGAAGTTTGTAACTACCCACAGTTTGTTAGACTAATGGAGTCCTCTTTAGCAAAACATATTAAAAAAGAAAGAAGCTTATCAAATCTTCCTTAAAGTAAAAAATAGCATGCCACAACTATTTCTAGGAAAGCTATTTAATCACATATTTAAAGTAGGAAGCCTAATGCATATAGTGCAGGAACATTGAAAATTAATTAAAATGATGTTTGTAGGGTATCTGCCTCATGGTGGCACTCAATAAATGGTGGCATGGTTATTGTTATTAGAATAGAAAACAAGACTCAATTCTCCCCCAAGTGAGGCAAACCACCACTAAAAGTAAAATCTAGACAACCTAGCTTAATGATAAGTTACAAAATGGAAGAAAAAATAAGTCACATTTGCTTGAATAGTCTAGTTTGGCTGTTCCAAGTTTACTGGGGGAAGAGGGGAGGAGGAAATAACTAAGGTATTATTGAATAGCTCTCAATCTGTTGTTCCCACTGAGACACTCACACTAGATGTTGGTCATATGTGTAAGTCATTCCTGTGTGCAATTTCTGGCAACAGAAACAACTCCATCTGTGTCTATCACACTCAAAACGAGCTATTGTAACATGAGTGAGCATGGCATTATTATTGGGATAGGCTGGATTCTGTTCTAGTGAACTTTAAAAACATATAATTTGCAAATGTATGTATTTCAACCATCATTAACTACAAAGGTTTGGGGATATATCTCACAATTGACCAAGATTCAACCCTATCATTTTATAAATAAGTAGACTGAGGACTAAAGGGATTAAATGATTGGCTCAAAGTCAAACAGCTAATTTGTGGCAAAGCAAGCACTAAATTCAAATTATTTCTAAACAAAATGTGTCAGGATCTTAATGGCCTTCTATTCCTCAATGCTGTCAAGTTACCATATTTCAGTTGATGAGATTTCATAATCTCTATTATTTTTAAGTATCTGAATTCTTTCTTCTATGTCCTAGAATAGTAGACATTCAGAGAGTTTGTTCATGTTTAGTTTTATGCAACACAGATTTATTGAGTGCCAAACATATTCTAGGCCCAGGGATAGAGAACTGAACAAAATACAATCCCTTCCTTCATGTTGATTGAGAGACATGGACATAAATTAAAATTAAATTTTATCAAAAAGTGAAAAACTTATATTATTAAAAATATAATATCTCATGATTTTAATAAATGCTACAATAAAAATAAAAGTGAGCTGGCACAGAGACTATATGGGAAGATTTGTAATTAATGAGTTAATGTATTTTAAATCATTTCTATTTAATAATGAGAGACAAAATTAGAAGGGATAGTCACTCCTTAAACTTGCCCAATCATGCCAGTGAAATACCCATCAGCTGGGTCATCTCCCTATGGAGCCTCCATTTTAATTATGCAACTTCACATCCAACCAGCAGGAAAACCTGCTTTGTGAGCTGGAGATGTGTGGAGGGAAGTCAGGTCCTAGTCACAGCCCATAGAAATCAGAGTATGGCCAGATTATGCTCAAATGTTTTTAAAGAGTATCTAATTTTTAATAACCTTTTAAAATTCTTTATTATCTTTTAATAATCTTCATTCTTTATTATTTCTTTAAATAATTTACTATTATGTTTATAATGTTTTTAGTTTGTTTATTTGCCTTGTTCTAAAGAGCCCTGGTGGTGTAGTGGTTAAAGCTTGACTACTAACTAAGAAGTTCAGTGGTTTGAGCCTATCAGCCACTCTGCAGGAGGAAGATGTAGTAGTCTATTTCCATAAAAATTCACTGCTTTGAAAACCCTGTGGGGCAGTTCTATTCTGTCCTATAGGGTTGCAATTAGTTGGATCAACTCAATGGCAGTGAGTGGTTTAGTTTGGCCTTATTTTTTATTAGGTATATTATCCAGCTTTATTTATTTACTATGAATATTACACAAATTGAAAGCACAATATGAAGATTCAAACAGCAATTTTCTGTTTGATTATTGCTTATTCTACTTCACAGGTTTGAAAATGAGGCTCTAAGACTTCCTCACTCTTTTTGGAACTGTGTTTTGATTATTGGCTAACCTTCATGTGAGTATGTATTTTCAATGCCATGTTCATTGCCAAAAAAACTTGCCTTTTCGATGATATGACTTAATGTTGTGAACAACATGATTTCCCTGTGTAAGAGAGAAAACAAGTTCAAAATAAAAACATTTTCAAGTTTAACCAAGAAAGTGAGAATGAAACCAGAGCTATGATTGTTAATTGCTAGCAAATACCTTCACAGTGTACAAAGGAGGAATAAAACCTGTGGTTGACTTGTTTGTTTGCTTTGTTTTCAATCATTCCAATAATCCAGAGACTGAGAGAGACATTTGACAAATTTACAAAATATATAACTAGAACAATTGCCCCCATCTAATGAGATCTAATGAACACTTACTTTCAATTGCCTTAATTTTATTTTCCCATGGGATACAAGCAGCTTTGAAGTTCTCAAAATCACGGAGAAATTTTGCCCATTTCTGAAAAAGAAGCCATGTATAATGGTAAAGTTCAACTCTTGGTTCGTCAAGATGTTTATCTCCCACTCTCCCCTTAAAACATCACAAAGTTCTGGGCTTGGAAAGATATTTATAACATAAAGTACTGCTTTCTGAAAAAAAGACAAAGCATATATTTTACTTATCTCCTTGTAGACAGACCTACCCACTGTAGTAGTTGTTGTTATGTGCCATTCGTTAATTCAGACCTGACTCATAGTGACCCCACCTTGGGTTTCCGAGGCAGTATCACTATGGAAGTAGATTGACCTACCCCCTAGACCAATATAATTTTAAAAATGTTTACTAACCCTTTACTTTATAGGCAATATGCTGACCAGTGAAAAAGATCTGTTTATCCTATCAACCCAAAGAGATCAGGGACTAAGTTAGTGCTTAATAACGTGATTGGCACATAGTATGCCCTTAATTGGGAGCTCTGGTGGCATAGTGCCTAAGACATTTGACTGCTAACCAGAGGGCTGGCAGTTCAAACCCACCAGCCCCTCCTCAGAAAGAAGGTTGGGCAATCTAGTTCTGTAGTGATATGCCTCGAAAACCCAAGGAGGAGTCGCTGTGAGTTGGATTCTACTCCATGGCAGTGAGTTTGGTTTTTTTTTTTTTTTGGTTTTTTTTTTGGTTTTTGGTATGCCCTTAATTAATACTTGTTGGATAAATGAATTAATGAAATATGACTATGATATAGTCCCTGCCTAGTGTGCTAGAATAGACTATATATAAACAGATGATACAGTGTGGTAAATGATATGACACAGGACACTTCATTTTAGAAGTAAAAAGGAGAGGCAGAGCAGTCAGCTAAATGAAAAGACATGATGTCACAGGAAGAGAAAGGAAAAAGTCATAAATTGGTTTTATGGAAGATCTTCCATTTCATCCATAGTCAAGTGACCCACACTAAAGAATGGGAATGGGGCATATCATTTTTCATATCCAAAAATTATGCTGGAGTAAGGTGTGAGCCTTATCAGTATGAAACAAGTTAAAAGGATTACCCAAATCTAGAAACATCCCAAATGTTCATTTACCATAGGATGAAACAATTAATTGTGGTATCTTCATACAATGTAATGCAACACATCAATAAGATGAACTATAAATATTCCCAAGAGCAAGGATGTATCTCATGAACATGATATCAAGAATCCAGGCTGGAAAAAAAAAGCAAGTACTATATGATTTAATTTATTTAAATTTTAAAAATAGGCAGAGCTAATCTATGGTACTGGAAGGCAAAGTTTCTCTTTTGGAGGAGAGCTAGTGACTGCAAGGGTATAGGAGGTTGTGTCTTGAATTCTGATCATGTTCTATTTCTCAATCTGGGTGGAAGATACACCAGAGTATTTATAAAAATTCATTACGATATATAATTGTGGTTTGTGTACTTACTGAATGCATATGTCAACAAAATTTTCATTTAAAGTAATGCAAATTCCTTTGATTCCAGAAACAACTAGAACATCACAGGGGAGGAGACCTATTATCTCCTATGGATACAGACAGAAAAATTCTCAAAAAAGTACTAGTAAACCAAATCCAGCAGCATATAGAAAACATTGTATGTCATGATCAAGTGAAATTTGTCCCAAGAATGCAAGGTTAGTTTAACACACAAAAATTAATTAATGTAATATAACATATCAACAGAATAAAGGACACAAACCACATAATAAGTTCAATAAATTAAGAAAAAGGGTTTGACAAAATCCAACATCCTGAATGCTTTCTTCCTGAAGTAAGAAACTAGACAATGACATCTACTTTTGCCACATCTATGAGATACTGTGCTGGAAGTTCTAGCAAGGATAATTAGTCAATAATAATAAGTAAAAAGTCATCTAAGTCATCTACATTGTAACAAAAATGCAACCACTGCCATGGAGTTGGACCCGACTCATAGCAACCACTCCTTGGGTTTCTGAGGTGGTATCACTACAGAAGTAGATTGCCCAACCTTCCTTCCAAGAAGAAGTAAAATTATATCTGTTTGCATATAACACTATTTTGTATATAGGAAATCCAAAAGAATCCACTAAAAGAAAAAAAAAATATATTAGAACAAATAAATGAGTACAGCAAGATTGCAGGATATAAGATAAATGTACAGAATTCAATTACATTTTTTTTCATTAACAATAAACAATGTGAAAATAGCATTAAGAAAGCATTCAATTTATAATAACCAAAATTGAATACAAAAAATTGCAAAATTTGTACTCCAAAAACTACAAGACATTGTTGAAAGAAGTTAAAGAAGATCTAAATAAATGGAAAAACATGCCCTATTCATGGATTGGAAGATTTGATAATGATAAGTGACTATTAATGGGCAAGGAGTTTCTTTGTATGGTAATGAAACTGTTATAAAATAAGATTGTGATGAAGATTGCATAACTCTGTTATGCATTGAAAACATTGAAGATCATTGATTTGTCTGTTTTAATTTCTGAGTGAATCGTATGGTACGTATGATATTTAAAGTTGTGTGTCAACTTGGCTGGGCCATAATTCTAAATGGTTTAGCAATTATGATGTACTCATCACCCACGAGATCCATTTCTTCTGTGGATCAGGATTCTGTTGTGCTGCCTATAACTAGCAAGGTAAGCACGGGCGTAGCACAGAGTAGCAGGCCGGAAGAGCAGGAGAAAAGGGTAAAACCCAGGAAGCCAAAGAGAAGAGCAATCAGCTGAAGGGATTAGGTGAGGAGGGGAAACTCAGGCCCGCCCAGAGTAGCAGGCC